ATCTTCACGAAAAGTTAACTCCTCCAACAAGTTATGTTCGCTACCCTTCGCCGAGACAAGGTAACCCTTAACCACTGCAATATTTTAAACCTGAGTCTCTACGTCAGTTTCGCCTCATAAGCAAGAAACTCTAGGATCCCGGCTCCAAGACATCATAATTTTCTTAACACCCGATGTAAGTCTTCCTTCCCCGGACTCTGCAAATGGTTAGATTTCGGCCTCTCTAACCTAAGATACAATTTCGGACCGCGGACGCCCAGACCAGTTAATTATCGCATCCTCGGAGAAATGTTAAAACGCCATCCGTTAAGATTATTAACTACCCTCCCTGCAAAAAAATTAATAATCCCTTCATTCCCTGGTTGGAATTGATAACGCTACATTTCTCCTTTTGGAACTAACTGAAGGAAATACACTTTTGAATTCCTTACAGCATTTTTTCCAACGAATTCCGTGGTCGCAGTTACGGAATCGCGAGTCTTTCTCACGCAAATTCGTGGAACCGAAAGTGCGCTGCGGCGGCGACGCTGTGGGTCCTTTCGCGAGGGTGAACCTGTGAGTGTAATCCCGTACATATAATGACGGTAGCGAGGAGAGGGGCAGTTTGTGTCACATAAACCAGGGCTAAGTAGTGACCAGGGGCAGCCCCGTGTGTATAGGGTGGTCAGCCCCCACGCCCAGCCGCGGCTCCTACCTTGTGGTTAGTCCAGACCTTTGTTTGTTCAGCTCCTGCTTGCCCTGCCCTCTTTGTCTCAGCTTAATTACATTCCCTTTGTCTTTCCATTACTAAATTTGTCGTGGCCAGAGCGATATTTTAAGGACGTTGTGTTACTTTGTCCTCCGGTGTCTCCCGTCCAGTATTTATGGATATTGACTATGGCGAGGTAATTCCTATGCTATTCGTGTGAGACTCGCACGCCAAGCGCTTCCACTAGACGCCGCAGAGAGGAGCAGGAACACACACAAACCTACAGATACAGAAGAAAGGTCTCGGACGAACCCAGGCGAACCCAGAGACATCTCAGAGCAACGGTGTTTGTTACCCCTTCCCCCTGGCACGGCAGAAGGGCGCGTCCGGCTAAATATTCATGGAGGTGGCGTTACACATCCTCCCCCTGTCGAGTTTCCATCATCCGCAAACTCCCTCAGTGTAACGAGCCTTCTCCTCCTTCCTTCTCCCTCCTCCTCCTTTCTCCTCTCTTCTCCTCCTTCGTTCTCCCTTCTCCTCTTTTCCTCTCTCTTCGTCTCCTTCATTTTCCCTTTTCCTTCTTCTCCTTCCTTCCCCTCCTTTCTTCTCCCTTCTCCTCCTCTATTCTCCCTTCTCCTCCTCTATTCTCCCTTCTCTTCCTCTCTTCTCCCTTCCCCTCCTCTATTCTCCCTTCCCTTCCTTTCTTCTCCCTTCCCCTCCTCTATTCTCCCTTCTCCTCCTTCCTTTTCCCTTCTCCTTCCTCCTCCCTTCTTGCTAAATCCAGCCCCTCCCCCCGCTCTCCCACACCCTACATGGCCACACCTTCAGCGGGTAGGTCAGTCAGCCAGGCAGTTCTCGGTCCTTATGGGGAGGACGCCCGCTCTGCTCTCGTTCTTGCTTCGCCCCTTTGTGGTGAGGGGGTTTGGCAAATGCATGGGTGGGTTGAGGGAGGGAGGGAGGCAGGGAGGGGGGAGGGGGGGGAGGGAGGGAAGGAGGAAGGGAGGGGGGAGGGAGGGAGGGGGAGGGAGGGAAAGAGAGAGGGAGGGAGGGAGGAGGAGGGAGAGAGGGAGGGAGGGAGAGAGAGAGAGAGAGAGGGAAATATCTTTAATCACGCGCGCTAATTACAGCAATTACAAAATTTGCATTTTTCAGTCGTATTGCATACAAGGCTTTATCTCTCCACAGGAACTTAAATAATCATCAGATGTGATCCTTCCAATATATGAAAACAAACAGAGATACAAACTTACCTGAATTTTCACGCATTATTTATTTTCATTAACAATGCTTTCACACTATACTTACACTTACACACAAAAATCCCGAATGAACATTATAGTGACCCTGATAGTGACGGCATTAGCACAGGTGATTAATCAATATCAAGTTGCTCCCTCACCTGTTTTCTTTTATTTTTTTATTTCATTTCCTGGGAATGAAAAACTAGTAAAAAAAAAAGGATCATTAACAGAGGATCAGAGCGAGGAACGGAGATAGAAAAAAAAAACACAACTCTTTAAGTCTTCCGACACAACAAACCGCAACCTGATAGAGATGAACCTGCAGTATTCAATTATAAACATTTACGTGCGAAGATTAAGCATCAGAACCGTATTTTTAATCTTGCCTCGTAGCCTCAAACTAATAATTGAATCCAGCGTTGCAACGTTGCGGACTAAATCTCTTTCTCAGCGCCACGCAATGAGAAAAAGGGCAAATGATTTAATGCGGTCCATTTTTTTTTCTTCTCTTCTTCTCGCCGCAATAAAAATAACTCAAGAGCGTTGCGCCGACACCTTGCCATGTTGCCGATTGCCAATTGTTCGTTGCCATAGAAGTTCAGGGCGGCGGGTGGGGCGTGGGGTGCCCGCGGCGCCCGAGGCTGTGGGGTCCGCCTTCAGGTTGAGTGGGGCTGGAGTAAGAGGGACTGGAGTGGGGCAGGGCTGGATTGAGAGGGGCTGGAGTAAGAGAGACTGGAGTGGGAGGGGCTGGAGTGAAAGTGGGTTGGAATTGGAGGGGATGAAATGGTAGGAACTAGAGTGGGAGGGACTGGGGTGGGAGGGACTGGAGTGGGAGAGGCTGGAGTGGGAGGAACTGGAGTGGGAGGGACTGGGGTGGGAGGGACTGGAGTGGGAGAGGCTGAAGTGGGAGGAGCTGGAGTGGGAGGGACTGGGGTGGGAGGGACTGGGGTGGGAGGAGCTGGAGTGAGAGGGACTGGAGTGGGAGAGGCTGGAGTGGGAGGAGCTGGAGTGAGAGGGACTGGGGTGGGAGGGGCTGGAGTGAGAGGGACTGGAGTGGGAGAGGCTGGAGTGGGAGGGACTGGGGTAGGAGGGGCTGGAGTGAGAGTGACTGGGGTGGGAGGGGCTGGAGTGAGAGGGACTGGGGTGGGAGGGGCTGGAGAGGGAGGGGCTGGAGTGGGAGGGACTGGAGTGGGAGAGGATAGAGTGGGAGGGACTGGAGTGGGAGGGACTGGAGTGAGAGGGACTGGGGGGGAGGGGCTGGAGAGGGAGGGGCTGGAGTGGGAGGGACTGGAGTGGGAGAGGATAGAGTGGGAGGGACTGGGGTGGGAGGGGCTGGAGTGAGAGGGACTGGGGTGGGAGGGGCTCGAGTGAGAGGGACTGGGGTGGGAGGGGCTGGAGTGAGAGGGACTGGAGTGGGAGGGACTGGAGTGGGAGGGACTGGAGTGAGAGGGACTGGAGTGGAAGGGACTGGAGTGAGAGGGACTGGGGTGGGAGGGACTGGAGTGAGAGGGACTGTGGTGGGAGGGGCTGGAGTGGGAGAGGATAGAGTGGGAGGGACTGGAGTGAGAGGGACTGGAGTGGGAGAGGATAGAGTGGGAGGGACTGGAGTGAGAGGGACTGGAGTGGGAGAGGATAGAGTGGGAGGGACTGGAGTGAGAGGGACTGGAGTGGGAGGGACTGGAGAGGGAGGGGCTGGAGTGGGGGGGGCTGGAGTGAGAGGGACTAGAGTGAGAGGGACTGGAGTGGGAGGGGCTGGAGAGGGAGAGGCTGGATTGGGAGGGACTGGAGTGGGATGGACTGGAGTGGGATGGACTGGAGTGGGAGAGGATAGAGTGGGAGGGACTGGAGTGAGAGGGACTGGAGTGGGAGAGGATAGAGTGGGAAGGACTGGAGTGAGAGGGACTGGAGTGGGAGGGACTGGAGTGAGAGGGACTGGGGTGGGAGGGGCTGGAGAGGGAGGGGCTGGAGTGGGGGGGGCTGGAGTGAGAGGGACTGGAGTGAGAGGGACTGCAGTGGGAGGGGCTGGAGAGGGAGAGGCTGGATTGGGAGGGACTGGAGTGGGATGGACTGGAGTGGGATGGACTGGAGTGAGAGGGACTGGAGTGGGATGGACTGGAGTGGGATGGACTGGAGTGGGATGGACTGGAGTGGGATGGACTGGAGTGGGAGGGACTGGAGTGAGAGGGGCTGGAGTGGGAGGGGCTGGAGAGGGAGAGGCTGGATTGGGAGGGACTGTAGTGGGAGGGACTGGACTGGGATGGACTGGAGTGGGATGGACTGGAGTGGGATGGACTGGAGTGAGAGGGACTGGAGTGGGATGGACTGGAGTGGGATGGACTGGAGTGGGATGGACTGGAGTGGGATGGACTGGAGTGGGATGGACTGGAGTGGGATGGACTGGAGTGGGAGGGACTGGAGTGGGAGGGACTGGAGTTAGAGGGACTGGAGTGGGAGGGGCTGGAGAGGGAGAGGCTGGATTGGGAGGGACTGTAGTGGGAGGGACTGGACTGGGATGGACTGGAGTGGGATGGACTGGAGTGGGATGGACTGGAGTGGGATGGACTGGAGTGAGAGGGACTGGAGTGGGATGGACTGGAGTGGGATGGACTGGAGTGGGATGGACTGGAGTGGGATGGACTGGAGTGGGATGGACTGGAGTGGGATGGACTGGAGTGGGATGGACTGGAGTGAGAGGGACTGGAGTGGGATGGACTGGAGTGGGATGGACTGGAGTGGGATGGACTGGAGTGAGAGGGACTGGAGTGGGAGGGACTGGAGTGGGAGGGACTGGAGTGGGAGGGACTGGAGTGGGAGGGACTGGAGTGGGAGGGACTGGAGTGGGAGGGACTGGGGTGGGAGGGACTGGAGTGGGAGGGGCTGGAGTGGGATAGACTGGAGTGGGATGGACTGGAGTGAGAGGGACTGGAGTGGGAGGGACTGGAGTGGGAGGGACTGGAGTGAGAGGGACTGGAGTGGGAGGGACTGGAGTGAGAGGGACTGGAGAGGGAGGGACTGGAGTGGGAGGGACTGGAGTGGGAGGGACTGGAGTGAGAGGGACTGGAGTGGGATGG